GACATGTGTAAGTATTTCTGGTTTTCATGTTCAGGTGCCCGAAATAAACCAGGCAAAATGAGAAAAGTCTGAACTCTTTGTGTCCTAGGAGTGTAACTTGCTAGTTAGGTTAGAGTGGCTTTTATTTCATTTGTGTTGGTTGGTAAATGTGTACATGTACATGTATGTCTTCATTAGTGAGTGGATTGGTAGGTATGATTTATTTGCCAGTTTATTGCCCGTCATGACTGTAAGCGAGAGTTGAGTGCTTGGTCAGGCGGGGTTGGGGGAGTGGGGGCGGGGGGGGGGGGGGGGGGGGGGGGGGGGGGGGGGGAATTGAAAGATGCCCAGAGATACAGAGCAGATACCCAAAAGAAAAGGGGGGAAGGGGGGCAGAGACAAGTAGATATAGTTTTATAGGTTATAAGAACTTAAACCAGCTGTTTGGTGGTGTGAAAAAAGTAATATTTTTAAAATCAGTGCTGTTGATATGGAAATATTTAAATGTCTACTAGATTTGGTTATTATAACAAAGTTTTGACAGAAGTGCTGATTTGGAGAATCATATTTGGCATTTCCATACTTCATGAAGCTTGAAATCATAAATTTAATTTGAAAAAAAAAATCGATAAATATTTGTTGGCAATCTTCTTTAAAATCTGGAAATGCTTTGAAATGGATACTGCTGTATGCTATTCTCTCTGGTCTGCCTTGGTTATAGAACAGTGTATATTTCAAAAGAAAAAGAAAAATTAGGAAATCAAAGAAAAATGCAGTAATAAAACTAGACTTAGACCCCAATTCCCATAGATGCCATTGGGCTACGTGATTGGACCCAACTCTGCAGGAATTCTGGCTTAGTGCAGTCAGTGAAATCAGGTTAGTTGTGTGACAAGCCTTTTCAAGTCCAGGGGTAATTAGTTAAAGTGTTAAAGGAGTTAATTATATTCTAGCTCCTCGAGGAGGCATGACATTCAGTGCAGCTGATTGCAATTAGCGAGAGTCCCCAGCAGAGATGGAGTGACCCACGTAGGCTGATGTGTCTATGGGAGTGCTCCGTAAGTGATATAACATGTTCATTTTTAAGTGATATGTTTTTAATGGACATATAAGTGGAAAACTGAGACCAGCTACATTGTGATCATGTAAATCCTATATATGGCATTGTTGGATCACGTTGTGTTCCATTTATAAACTCAGGCAGCGTTGCAACCACTGGTCACCATAGAACGCAGAAATTGCACAGAAAACACAGAAACTGTCCTCTTTCTTCAATCCATGGTATTGCACACTTTGTTTGCTTGACCAGTGATAATGACACAGTTTAAAAGTAGTGTTTGTTTGGAACTGAAAAGCCAATGTTGTAACTGCGGGGTACAAATATAGGCTTGGTCACTCTAGCACAGCAGACGTGTACCGTGTACCGGGGACCAATACTGCTGACCTTTCACTTACATAGGCCTGTCAATACAGCATAGTGGAGACTGCTCTTTACCCATTGATTGTCCACTGTAAGTATAATAAAGGGGTATTGTTTATCTTGGAGGCACTTGGTTATACTGAACAGAGAAAGTTGAACACGGGTGACATTGTGACATTGGGGTAGAGAGTAATTTCTTACATATAACTCTATCCTCATGGCATAGGAACTTGTTGCGGTTTTAAGGAAGAAAGAATAGATTTCAGATATCACAGTAGGTAGAGCTGTTACATAAGACAGGTGCGTAATGTGTGCTGCCATATGGTTTGGCCACATCTTGACAAATCTAATATTTTAACATCTTTGTTTGGGGTAAGATGAGCACAGTTGGCTTTTCAAGATTTCTGCTCTACAGAATTTCAGAAAAATCATTTATTTGGTTGTTTTCTGGCAGTTTCAGCCCTTGTCACCAGGCAGAATGGAGCTTTAGTTTATTGACCTTGAACTACCATGTTAACCTCAGGACCTTGGAACCCAATTGAACAGCAATAATCAGGTTGATTTGCCTCGGTTCATTGCAGCTCAAGATTGGTTCAGGTTAGAAACAAATTGCTTCTGTCATAGATTTGTTACTAGTAAGGACACTTGCTCACTGTATGCTCCCATAGAGATATGGTTCTATTAATGTGTCATTCAAGCAGGATCTACAAGTCAGTGAATGTCACTTTGACATGGTGGTTCACATCCTCTGTAACTTCCATTTTCTCCATGCAGTTTAATTATTGTTATTCTAAAAGCATGTCAGCCAAGGGTTTTCTGTTCTTTGAGGTAGTGAAAAGGCAATAGAAAAAATATGCCGATGGTCAAATAATTCTATATGGTTTGTTTAAAATCCTTGCATCTCCCCTGCCTATATATGAGCCTGGTATATGATTCTCATGATATTGTGCAGTATTTGGAGAGCTGCAGTATAGTAGCAGGTGCAGGGTTGCTGTGCCTTCCCAGCAATGTTGTGTTTTGTTCAGCCAAGTCTTCAGTATTGACATGCATGTTAGGTTCATTGCCTGTCTGTGCATTGGCATAAAGATGGAGTTATGTAAGTGGCATTCTTTGGATCTCTAAAATTTCTTGTCATAGACTGTAAACTACATAATAGTTGAGGTGCCTGAGTTGGGAACATGTGAAGGGTGTAGAATTATGTAGTGTTAGTCAAGTTAAGGTAATAATGGAATGAAATCGACTCATCTAGATCTTTCGTTTTGAAGGTCATGTTTTGACCACAAGTCCATTTCATGTCCATCGTTACGAATATCTAAAACAAACACATGGATTAAAACATTCACTTTGGTATTATACAAGTGTTAATTGATCTTTGCAAGAAACAGATCTTGTTATTACCATAAAATCTCCAAGGACAACTTTATTATGGTGATATTTACAGTTTCACAGATTAGAATCGCAGATTAGATCCTGGCAGATTTGGAATAGCATATGTTTTAATATGTGTTCTAGAATCCCCCAAAGCAATTTCTGGCTTCAGGGGTCAAATATTTATCAGTAAAATGTTGAAGACAGTTGTGTTCTGGTAAAGAAGAAGATGATGTGACAGGTGTGTCATTGTAGACTTTGTAGAACACCCAAAGCATTCTGTGCAACAAACAAATAGTTTTGGTGTCTCCCCCCCCCCCCCCCTTCCCCCAAAATTATTATTTTTATGTACATTCTGGGTTTACACAAGCATGGTTAAATAAATAACGCAACTACTGAGTTAACTGATATATATATATAATTTGTATTTTTTTAAAAATCAGTTTATTTTAGTTTATAATTAAATTTTTTTTCACCCTTCTTGTTGATCTTGTTTAAAATTATTATTTGATGTCTTAGATGGATTTGCCCCTGGTTTTAACTATTTTGTTCAGTAGAATGTTAAATTTTTTATAAGCTGATTTTATATATATCTTATGTTGCTTCATAGAAAGTGATGCTAGTTTCATATGTACCTTTTGGCAAAATTAACCTAAATCATTTGTAGCTTTAAACTGGGAAATGACATTGCTTTTTCTTGTGCAAGATCAGAATAGAATTGCAGAAAGTGATTTTAGTCAAAGAGTTCTATCAGGTTTTGCACTATCATATAGCCTATTGGAAGAGATTCAGGTTACCCTTCAAGTACTAGTAATCTGCATTTCTTGTTTGCCAGCACTGACAGCCTTGAGCACATTAATCCAAGGATGTTATGTAACTATTTCTCAGTATTTATTCAGCTATATTAATCCTCCATATTTATACCTGCTACTAGCCAGGAGAAAACAAACATTGACCTGGTCAGCTATCTTGATTAAGAGAGCTGTTAAGTGAGAGAGGATGGATTTCATTATGGCAAACCAGCTATAGGTGTATTCAGCTAGGTGTATTCAGCTAGGTGTATATAGATAGTAGTTTATTTTAGGGAGCACCTTAATGTGCAATTTACTAACCCAGCAGGTGGCCTGAATAAATAAGTCTGATGTCTTCGTTGGTAGGAATAGAAGGCCACAGTAGGCTCAGGATGAAATAGACAGGGCTGTTCTCCCTCAATGTTACTAGAATGTAGGAATCACTAAGATTTTTTAAATGTTGTTTATTTATTTATTTATAAATTTATTTATTTATTTATTTATTTATTTATTTATTTATTTATTACAAAGATTTCAGAAGAGAGTTATAGTATTGATGTTGAATGTTTGCAGGTTTGGTTGAAAGTAAGTTTTATAAATTGTTTTTACTGAGGAGTTCGCTTTTGCACTGGTTTATTCATGTAACTTATGATACAGAAAAAAAGTGACCTTAGGACCATAGACTGTAAGACAGAACTGTTTTTAAAGTTTTTTTTACTGCCACAATGACACAAGTGGATCTGACTGGATTGATAACTGCAGTGTCTTGTGGTATTTTTAGAAATCATCTTTCTCTGTAGTTTTGCTTATGACAGAAATATTAGCCAAGGTGGAGAGTGAGATGTTATCACCTGTTTTTTTTGTCTCAATTTTATTGTCTGCTTGTTTAAGATTTTATGAATAACGGTCGGCCGGTAGGACCTATTAGATGCTAATCTTGGTCAAGCTTGGCAGTGACGCCTTACTTTACTATTGTATGCCACATAAAAGCATGTGTGATAGGCTCTAAAACACATAAAGAACAATTTGGAAATGTTCACAGATAATTTTATACTTTGTGATTATTAAATTTTCAAAAGATCCACAGGTTTTATAAAATATGGTGTGAGATAAAAAGATGAAATTGATATTAAAGGGGTCCATTATTTATCCACTGTTCCTCACCCATTAAATCCTTTATATAAGGCTCCATTCAGAATAGGGGACTAACTAGAGCGACCCCTGTGGTCAGAGAGCACGTGATTGTAGTGATACATACATAAGAGTTATACTCATCTGTATATTTCTGTCTATATCTAGACTTCTATATGTTGGTATCCTATGTCTTAACTTCAATATCCAGCTATCTATATACACACTTGCATGTGCATGAGCACATGTGTTAGTACACACACACACACACACACACACACACACACACACACACACACACACACTGTCTTTTATTAGTCGAGAGAAAGAGAGAGAGAAAGGCGTGCTCAGGTATGACAGGTAACCTATTTCCATACACCAGTAGCTGACACACATTGCCTTCAAGACAACATCAGAGATGAGAGAGAACTGACTACCACTTGTTGATGAGCTGTTCACAGGAGTACAGAATCAATCCTTGTCTAGAGCTGGATTAACAAGAAACTGTGGCAAGGGTTTTATATCCCCTTTATACCAAGTGTTTTCTCTCTTTGAGGCAGGATTTGATTAATCTGAAGGACATGGTGTAAAAAGAGAGGGAAAGAAGACAGCTCATAGAATTACATCAGATATACTGGAAGCTGTGGAGTCCATGTGGGGTGATCAGTTCAGCCTCTAGGGAATCTGTGTTTATACGAGAACAAAGGATACAGTAATACATAGGTATAGGTTTGTCTATAAATAGAGAAAGATATTATATGCATCACCTGTGGAAAGAGATTTTGCATAGTAGGAGAAGAATATAGGTCAACAGAACAGCAGAATAACCACTTTAAAGGTCTTGGTGGTTGTAAAAGTAGAAAAGGCTGAGTAATAGAGTAGGGGTGAGAGTCTCTAACTCCCACAAAGGTGAACTTGGAGAACTGTTATCTTAGGTGCTGGAGGCATCCATGTAACTGTATCCCTGCCTAACCCAACACCTACACAATAAGAAGGCATACTGATGTTTTTTAATCTGTCACTATATGTTTATGTACCTCACAGCTAAAGTGGTTGTTTAAGGGTTATAAGCTGGGCAGATGGAATGTGGGTTATTTGTCCATGGTGAATGAGTGCCTTGTGCTAAGATTTGTTCCCTTCAGTCCCTTTAGAGTAGTTTGTTGGTCAATTAACTTGGAGCCGGACACAGTGGCTGCCTTTGTCTTGTGTTGGCTGGTCATTAACTGGTGGGCGTGGCCTCTCTCTCTTCCATGTGGCTTCACATGTACCTGCAGTGTCTCAGTCAGTGTGTCAGTCAGTGTGTATATATGTACTAGTATTGACCAGAGGAGTTGTACATAGCATGGGTCATCACCTATGTTGTCAGTGATGTGTTATGATATAAAGTTTCAGGTGACCAGTTTTTTGCACATTTCAATTTGAATTCATGTCTCTATATTGCTGTTATGTCACAACTACAGTGCTTTCTGGATCAGTAACCATTCATATCAACAGATGTTAGGAAGACACAATGCAAGTCAGTGATGTTGACCAGGGTACGGCAGGTGCTCTGTGTTTTATACACTGTATTAGTGGAATATGGATAATGCTATTGATTAGCAGATTTGGTAGTATTGATGACATATTGCACACTAGTTCTAACTGGTAAAGGTGTGAAACATTGTGGAGATATGTGGCTGCAAGTATTACAACAACAGTGGTTAGAGATGTATTCCTTTTCATAAGAATTAGGCTATTGGAGATGTTACATACACTGTTAAGTTGAAGCTGGGCACACTTGAAATAGAGCTTGCATTGGGAAGTTAACATATATGTATATGGCTCAGCAAGCTACTTTGTCATTTATTTTTAATGGAATTTTTATCCACAGAAAAGAGTGATATTCATTAGTTACGAGGCTGAATCACTGAGATCTATAGTTACTGAAGGAATGGAAAAATCTGCGTAGGCGAGAAGTGTTGGATGTTAATAGGCAAAAAGTATTGGATGTTAATTTTTTAGGAGCTATGTCACTGCTCAATGTGAAACATTTATTTTCAAGTAATATAAGTATATGGTCGAGTCATCAATATTGACCCATATGAATCACTTTACCACATGCTAAGAAGCATTTAAGAGAGCATTCACAACGAAGTTGATCCATGGGCTAACTAGGCCGTGTATCAAATATAGCGCGCACTTGACAGTGGATTCCCGCACCCTGTGCACACCATCCCAGTGGGGGCAGAGCAGTTAAATCTCGACACGTTTTCAAGTGGGTGGCGCCATATTTGATTTGCAGATCTTTAAGTCCGTGGATCAAATTGTTCTCAATGCACCCTACTACATTGTTTTAGATGCTCTGTAGAATTAGAGTGAATTAGAAACTCAGCTAGAAGTATGACGTAGCTGTATTTATATTGTTATGTATGCATAGATCAGACTTTAAAAAGTGATGTTCCATGTGTTTCCAGGTGTTCTACCTGCCATAGGTGACTAGTAGACAGAGACCTGGCTTACCTGACTTAATGGCAAATTGATGGGATCTTAAGGGTTCACTACAGTAGAGAGAGATGAAAGAGTTAATAGCATTAGTGCAGTGTAAGGTGGCAAAACATGTCTACAGGCTTTTATTGTGGGTGGCACTTATCCATGTAAAATCTTTGATCTAAAAATCTGCGATGTACTTTTGAAGAGGGTACTCCCCCCCCCCCCTTCTCTTCTCCTAAGAAGTATGTAGCAGATAATTTGTTCTGTGAATGCTATGAAGCTCAAGTGATTGACATCAGTCAGTTTTGAAACTAACTTGTTGGAACATCTTTTATATATTGTTTACGCCATTTTCCCTAGTTAACCTTGTGTGGAGGCATCACACCTGCTACCAAGTGAATGACTAATTAGTATTGTAAGTACGTTGGCGGCATTACATTAAGACTGTTGTCAGCCATGTGTACTTTCTTGATGTTGTCATTAATAGCTGAATTGGCATTTTACTGGTCCCATGAGGTCTTTTAAAATAACTTTTTTTTTGTGACAGCAAAGAGAGCTTGCCACTCAGAATATACTTCTAGAATATTGTTATTTGTTTATGCTGTGTGGACAAAGAAAAGCACTTGAGGTCTATAGAACTGAACTGGATACATGCTGCGGTTTATTCCCAGGAGAAGTAGGCGTCAAGAGTTGTTTTTATCCGAGTAACAATTCAGATGAAAGAGCAAGCTACTATATGGTCATGAAGAAACCCGAGAAATTGTTTTGATCATATTGTCCTCCCCTGTGTGTTTACATGGGATTCTGTTGTCTGAATGTGGCACCTGGTGGATGGGAAATGAAGGTAGAAAACCGACTTGATCAGATCTGGTTTGTCATGTCATCAAGAATTGGGTTAATTCTTTCGAGGACTTAATGCTTATGTGGGATTTGTGGGTTTTCCGTAATTGTATTTTCTGAGAAAGAGCAGGTTTGTTATGTTTTTTTTTCTTTTCTTGTTTCTTTATCTTTTTTGCTTAGTTTCTGTTTATTTGCAAGGTTGCAATTTGATTCTAGTGTACAATACGTAAAAGATTTGAACAAAACATGGTTTTTTCATGGAGAATCCCACATGAGACATGAGCATTTGGCTTGGACTTGGAAACTGTGATCCTTGACTTCTAAGATTAAGGTTAGACATCCAAGAATTTGTTGTTGTTGATGATAATTTTTGTGGTTTGGGTAGAGTTCTATAAAATTCAATCTTTCACTGTAAACAAATGAGCTGGTGTTGAGGAAATTATAGGTGCTAGACCTGTAAATGAATTCCTTCAAGGGCGCTGTTTATCTTTTTGTGTTCATTTCCTTTTTTGTCATGATAGGTATCTGAGAAGCGGAATTGTTAGAATTAGTCATTATGTGTTCGATTAAACCTTCAAACAAGTCCTGAGGACTCTACTCGAAGCCAACGGGAAAATTAATCTTGTGTGCTCGTGTCTCATGTCAAAGCCTTGATGTAGGTTAGTGTCAGAGTGATTTTTTTTACCATTGATTGAAGATTGCTATATAAGACATCAGTACTAGTAGTGTTGTGGTCGTAAAAATATACACAGTTTTCAGGGATGTCTTGGTGATATAAAGGGAATTCTTGGATTTTGTACATTTGAAGATGCATCTTTAATCTGGTATTGGTCATTGGGCACACATGGACTACCCGAGTATGCTACTTCACTTCTGGATTGAGGCGTGACTCACTGTAGGAACAATGGCAGATCAAAACATAGCGAATACTACAAGGCCATTCATTGGTCATCCACAACTACATGATAGTAAATCTCCCCAAGACACTGAAAATAAGTCACAGTTAACAAAGCATGATGATGATGACTCCAAAGGAATTTTTACTGGAGATATGAATGACAAATCGTGCAAAAAAATTAAGCTAGAGCCACACGTGTGCTCTCTCATGGCTGCTGAAGCCACAGAGGATCATGACGAGGACGAGCTGCTCCCACCTTGCGATTGCGAGGAGTGCTTTCTTGCAGGGAACAGCGATAGCGGGAGCAATGACTTTGAAACGGGGAAACAAATGAAACGAATCAGAACCATGGTAAATATGTTTCAGTGTAATTTCTGTTTCTTTGAGTGTGGTTTTCTATGGCTACATCATGTCAGAGTCTTCTATTACAGATTTATGAACGCACATGTGACCCAAGGTGGTTTTGGTGACTTTGAAACAAGAAAACAGATGACACTACCAATTTTATATACAATAGAAAATTATATATGGTCAGAATTGTACCTAAATGTGTAGCTTTACTTCGTCTTGTGCTTGGTTTTTATTATTACTTTCATTTTATTGGTATGCTGTTTTGTCTAAAAGTAATTTATTTTGAAGCCATTTTAATATCCTTTTTTTATTATATGGTTTCAATTTTCATGATGTTGATCATTTAATACATTTATCTGAGATCACGTAATCTGCAGAAATGAAGTTCACCTTGGCTGACATATGGATAACTGAATATCTTCATTTATTTATTACAGGGTAGCTTGCTGTAGTTTGCAGAGTCTATCTGCGGTCATATTACATGATTATGATATGTGTCTTCTTTTGTAGTAGAGACTATTGAATGTGTGGTTACAAAAAAAAAAAAAAAAATAGGAAGAAAAGATATTCTGTGAATTCGCATTGATCACAGGCAAAAATAGCATACTTCACTACCGGGAAACTTCAGCTCTAGACGCTTCTGGAAAATGGAATATGAGACAGAGATTATTCCAAAGGTAGACATCTAGAAAACATTCACACTGTTTACTTGCCATTGGTACTTCATTCCATTTCATGTTCACTTTTTTTTTAAATCTTTCCAGAGTTCATGGCGGAAGATCCGGAACATGGTGCACTGGTCTCCGTTTGTGCAGCAGTTTAAGAAGCACAGGTATCCCTGGATACAGCTGGCAGGTCACCAAGGTAACAGCCTCTGTGATAACTTGTCTCATTTACAGCTCACTTACAGTTCTCAATCTATTCTAGAACATTTGGCGTTTCTTTTTTTTTTTTTTTTTTTTTTTTACATTTCTAGTGTTGTTCTATAATGAATGTAGCAGTTCGAGAACTGCAGAATTTCCTAGAACAGATTAAGAACATTTTTCATTAAAAGAGAAAAACATTATGTTCTAGGACAGATTGAGAACCGTAAGTGAGCGTTAACTGAGACAAATTTTCACGGGGCTGATCCATCTATGTGTGTCATCTCTTCTGAAGTTGACGTGAAATGACCGTCTATCTTGTCCTGTTCTTTGCTTCATTTGTGCACTCTTCCATTGATTTACTTGTCCATCTTTTGATGTCATCCATTCATGTTAGTTGTAGCTCTAGCAGTTTCCACCCTGATAATATTCCTCCGTCTGGGGTAGCACTACCAATTTCTACCCTGATAATATTCCTCCGTCTGGGGTAGCACTAGCAATTTCCACTCTGATAATATTCCTCCATCTGGGTTTGACCTAGCAATTTCCAAATTGTCAAAAGTCAAATCAACCCTTTTAAGTCAGTTTTAGCATTTGGCTAAATTGGTGGTTGTTACTACACTGCTATCTCAGCCTATTTCACACTTTTTATGTACAGACACAAATAGCCATCACCTTCCTCTGTTAGTGTCAACCGTGTTGTCATCGCCATGCACTTTTCACCGTTATCACAATATATGTCAAACCTTGTGGTTTGTTATCCTCAAACTTACTGGAGTGATTTGTGCCCCTCAAATATAGGTCAAGTTCCAAAAGCAGCTTTTTTGGAATATTTGGCTCTTTTTCATTAAGATATTGAAAATGGTTTTCTGGATATTTGTGAAATTATAAGAATTTCTAGAATGTTGCTTGAGAGACTGAAGTGCATAGCTTGCCTGTTTTTCTTTTTTGGGCAAGGTTTAGAAAATCTATTATTTGCACAGAACCAGCTAGCTATAGGGGACAAATCAGAGATGAAATTTTTCTAACTGCCCACCAAATTTTCCAACTTTTTCACTTAACGGCAGTCTCATCCCTGTTAAATGTGCATGCACTTTTGTCTGCCGAGAACATTCATCATTCATTAAGCTCAGGGCCAGTTTGCTAAGATTTACCATTCCCTTTGAAGACTGAACATAATAATTTCTATCAATTTTTCATTGTAAACGAGGCAGATGACAACCTGAGCAAGTAAGGCAGAAGTGCTACAAATAATTGACTAATTCATCCAGACTGTTACAGCTGTATTTTTAGTACTTTGAAGGCATAACATAATGCATGTAGCTTGATGTTATGAGAGAAGCAGTATTACCATAGGCAAGGAGCCACAAATATGAACCTTGACAGCAATTTATAATTGCTTCATACAAAATGCCATTTAGATCCCTCTGTTGATTTGAATCGTGACAGCATACTGTAAAAATTTTAAGAACCTGTCAGATTTAGATGATGAAGGTTGGAATAATAAGACATCACACATTAAGTTGTCATGCTTTGATGAATCCAGGTTGAGGGTTTTGTTAGGATGTCATTCTAGTTTTCAAAAGTTCTATTTGAGTAACATTACTGGGTAAACATTTCAGTCTGTTACCAGTTAAAAAACCATTTGATTCATTGAATGGCTCAATGGGAAAAAAATTAAAAGACAAAAAGAAAGAAAGGACATTAAAATACTAAGTTCAGTAGACAATAAACAGAAGAGGAATTTTATCCTGGAGTAAGGTGCTGGTTTTCTTCCTGACTTTCATGTCATTTTTTTTCACCTTTGCAGGGAATTTCAAGGCAGGTGACCAGGGAACAATCCTCAAGAAGCTGTGCAGCAAGGAGCAGACCTGCCTTCAACAGCTGATGAAGGACATTATCCGGCCGTACGTGCCAGAGTACAAGGGGGAAGTAGAGAGAGATGGAATCAGTATCCTTCAAAATGGAAAATGGTGTACTTTTTGAAAATTTATTTCAAATTTTTTTTTTCAAGTTTGATTTTTTAGTTTTGCTATATTTTGTCACACGACGTTTTTACTCTAATGAATTATAGGCAGAAAAATAATGAAAGATACATAGCCACATTAAAATTCATGAAAGTTTAAACTTTCTCAAGTTAAAAGGGTAATTTTAGATAAAAAGGTAATGGTATTAAGAGTAAAGAAAGAAATGTCCAATTAATACATAATTCTGTACAGATGAGTTTGCACAATACCAAGTACCTAAGTTATAGTCCGAGTATGTGAACCCTGTTGTTTTCCTTGACTTCCGACCTAAGAATACATCCAGATGCAGGACCTCCTGTGTGAGTTTGACTGCTCCAGTCTCATGGACTGCAAGATAGGGGTCAGGACGTACCTGGAAGAGGAGCTCCAAAAAGCACGAGAAAACCCCAAACTCAGGAAGGTAGGATAACTGTGATGTTTGCACATTGTCCAGAAAACAATTAGGGTAACGACTCCATCTTTTCAACTGATAAAAATGATTTAAAAATTACTCCTATTGAAATTGTAGAGTTATTACTGTATGTATTTGTGTGTTTGTGTGTGTTCCTACAAGCATGCCTGTGCAGTAATAATAAGGGGAGGGGGTTGAAGATTTTACTTGTACTGATTTTAATCTGCTCTCGGCTCTGGATATTTCTATGATACTGCAATACAAAACAGATGTGTTTTTGAGGCTCCATTGAAAGTCCCAAATGGAAAAAATAATATATATGGTTCCTATTTTTCAGTTTATGATAATCTTTGATGCTATCTCTGTTATAAATATAAAACATCTTGTGAAATATTTCTGTGCTGAGATATTGTGGCGTGTAACTGCTTGTTAAAATACTTCTGTTCAGCTAAATGTCACACACAGGGAGAGTTCCATTTTTAACCTGACAATACAGCCACACATTAAATTGATTTTATGTGGGAAATATCGCATCAAAACTTCCTTCTTTTCACAAAAATCCAGCTGGAAGCCTTGTTATTTTTTTGACATTGAGAATAATTATGGTATCAGAACTATTCCCTTTACTGTAACAATGGACTTTGATCAAAGGGTGTATTCCCAGAGATTTAGATCGATCCAGGAATTAAGATTTAGATCGACCTAACTCCCTGGGGGTTCACGCTAAATTGCAGTCAGCCGAGCGCGCACCATGGTTAATTACCCCCTTACAGCTTTCAGTAGGCGGGACAGACGCTTAAGCCGGCCAAGCTGACAGTAATCTAGTGAGACTCCCCACACAGGGATAGATCAATCTAAAATCTATGGAAATGGGGTCAAATTAACAGCCTGGGTTTTACTTCAGAATCTATATCCCTTGTTCTCTCTCTTTGCTAGGACATGTACCAGAAGATGATCGAGGTGGATCCTAACGAGCCCACAGAGGAGGAACATGCCCAGCAAGCCATAACAAAACCACGCTACATGATCTGGCGGGAGACAGTCAGCTCCACCGCAAACCAGGGCTTCAGGATTGAGGGGATTAAGGTGAAGTCTCCTTCTGGAAATATGAAACCAAAAACATTTGAAGATATCTTTTGCATTTTTCCTGTATCAAGGATATGCTGGAGGTGGCTTTTAAGGATTAATTGAAATGTCATTGTAGAATGTTTTTCTTTTTATTGACTAAATGCTATCCTTGTCATTTCAGAAAGCAGATGGTAGCTCAAGTCGAGATTTCAAAACCACTAGAACAAGAGAGCAGATTCTAGATTGCTTCATCTCTTATACAGATAACAACAAAAATATCATAGTAAGTGTTGTATTCAGGTGCTTGGCAGCTTGGTTTAAAAGATATGTAAACTATGCTACAGCTGGAGTTGTGTGAAAGACTTGTTTTCTGGGAAAAACTTATTAAAGGGAAAAACAACTGTTAATTTTGGCCAAAAAATGAATTTTCCTGGGGTAAACGACAATTTTCCCACACTTGCTTTTGGTTAATGAATCTATTTCAATATTCAAAGTAAGTTCCTGTTTTTTTTTTTCTAAAAAGTTTGGTTTTTTGCAGTATTCTCCTAAGAGATTATTATAAAATGTAGCCATCTATGAAGGTCATGTGATGGGATGGCAAGCACAAATACCAGAAGAATTGCGTTAACTGCCATTTTGGTGGTAGAATAGAATTTATTATATTTCTGTGAGTTGTTTACAATGGATATCATAAAAACAGTTGTTATCTCTTTAAGTTAGATTCGAAACACCCTGATTTTGTTACTTCTCGAGTACTTTTGACTAACTGATAACTGATATTTGTGAATACTTTCAGCTGAAGTACATGAGAAGACTCAAGGCAATAAGAGCTACTCTGGAAGCATCTCCTTTCTTTGCCAGGCATGAGGTAGGCTTAACGCCTTATTTAGACTGGGTTCTCACAACTAGATTAATCTAACAGGATCGATCCATCTCCAAGAGGTTTCTCACTAAATTGTTTTCAGCTTAAGCGGCTTAGATGTCTGGCACCCCTACTGAAGCTGCTAAACAATTATTGATTACCCCTAGCAGCTTCAGTAGGCGTGACAGACATCCGCTTTAGTTGATTGCAATTTAGCAAGAATCCCCTTGAAGATAGGTCGATCCACAGGTAGTTTAGATAGGGTCTGGGAATGGTTCAGTAGTGACTAAAGCCAAAAGTGCATGTCTTATGGCAGTACACTATGTACTTTAACAGATCATGTAGTGATTTTTGTGTTGTAGTGTAGAGGTTTGTTTCTCTGAAGCTCGAGGTGCATTTTTAAGGAATTTAACACCTGTCAGGTGTGAATTGGAAAAGGTAACCAGACATGTAAAAAATCACTTTATGAAATTTGGATTTCACATTTTATGGGTTTTATGGGTTTAATGACCTGCCAAGTATGGTCAAATCCATTTGGCTAAAAGTTAGTTTCCTACATTTTCACATTGAATCCATTTAGCACTTTTCTATTTTCAGCTTAAGGAATTGGCTACAATTTATTCATTAGGTCATGCTAATACAAAATGTGGTTTAATTTCAGAATCCAATTAGTTAAAAGCAGCAGCTTTCATTTGCACATCTAATCCTCTTTGCACTTCATTTTAAGCTTATAATGAAGAATTTGCTAAGCAATTCATTCACTACGTCACACTTGTACAAGTTGGAATTCAATTTCAACATCCAATCAGTTAAAAACAGCAACATCCATTTGCACATTAGATCCGTTACGCACTTTTCTAATATCAAGATAAAGGAATTTGCTGAATCCTTCATTCATTACGTCAGTCTTGTACGATTTGAAGGTACATTTTCGCAAAGGCAAATGCAATTTGACTGTAATTTGGCCGTTTGTTGTGTGGTGACCAAGACTTCCAAGTGACGCAAGTACGATATATTTAGAGAAAGTGACGCAAGTATGATGTATGTAGAGCTAAAAATGCTTTGAATTCTCTGGGACAACAATGTCACAAAGTGTGTTGCCATGGTAATAATGACTTATTGCATCTTTCAGCTGATTGGCAGTTCCCTTCTGTTTGTTCACGACAACACGGAGCAAGCGTGCGTGTGGATGATTGACTTTGGCAAGAGTAACCCCATCCCCAATGACGCCACTATCAGCCACAGGGCCCCCTGGGTGGAAGGAAACAGGGAGGATGGCTACCTCACTGGAATAGACAATATCATTGACATTTTTGAGGAAATGTACACAAATGCTACCGGCTCTCCGACGTCCTGATATCAGCTTCCCATTTCTGCTGAAGCGTCACAAAGGATTCCACCCTCTGGGATTGGTAATGGTCAGAATGGCGTGAATTGCCTGGACTGATATTAACAAGTGTTTTGATATTCGTCTCATACTAAAGATAGTCAGGTCTATGAAGGGTATAATACTCCCAGTATGATCCAGGCCACTGGAGAAGATTAATTTCTCATGATAGAAAAAAAAAATAGTCCACGGGTATCCTACATATCTCAAGAGCATGTTTGTCAACATTTGAAAACTTGTCTGAAGAAGTGATACAGTGGTCTTTATAAGTGCTTAGATTTGTTCTCAGGGTTTGCCCCCTATACCCATTTTTATCGAGGACCAATTGTTTTATGTTTCTAATTAGCTAGATAAGCCAGCACCCTGCCATATTTGGGGATCAGGGAGACCACAGAGGATTTATACCCCCCCCCCCAATCTCCTCGGCATAATCTTTGGTCTGCCACATCGTGCCTGTCTTCTTAGCCAAGGAGTATTTTTTTAACTGCTTTGTATGGTGCTGAGCATTTGTACTCCATGACATTTATATATAAACACAAAGCAATGAGCTCCTCAAATGATGTGGAGCTTTGGTAATTTTTTTATAATTGTGTATTGATTGATTAAATGTAATGATAACTGTTGACATTGTGTTCAGAAATGCTACTTCAGGCAGTGCAAGACATCAGCAACCTTGTTACAAATAGGTCTTTCAAATGGACCGAGATTTCCAGTGCTTTACTACAGTATGTGATTGTATCATTTCCTGCAGCTGTACACTATGCCCCACTGTACAAGTTTGTGAATTTTTGAAAGTTGTGTTATATGAAACATGTAGCCATTATGGGCTGACATGATCAGAATGTTGACATTTTAGTAATTGAAAAAGACTTATTGATGATAAGAACAAATTTGGAATTTTTACTGGTAAATATTTCACTGTTCAAATCACTTTTCTTTAATGTGTAAATGTTTATGCAGAACAGGTAATGAACTGATATTAAGCTGCGTGCTGTTGCTGTAATGTGCCTTGTAACNTTAAACAATAGACATTGCAGTCTGCATAGTCCCGATAGTTAAATATCCTATAGTTTATTTCCTCTATTTTATTGTAAAGGCTCTGAACATTTGACAGAATAATGCTTGGCAACGGAGTTCTTTGCTTTCTATGCCTTAATTTCACTAGATGCCCTCCTCGCTTACCGCGCTTCCGCCCGTTCTTTGTTTCTCGCTGTGAGGAGGCCCTTGATATTCCGATGTCACGACAGATGTAATCCAAAGTTCCCGCTTGTAATGTCGATAGAGAGGCCGATGACGCTTGTCGTATTTGGAGCAGATCTTCTCTGGTATAAATGAGGATGGCTACCGACGTACTCAACATAAAAACTAGATAAAAGAGTAAGAATGTGGACGCTCTACAAAGCCTGTCGCCATTGGTCGGCGCCATCTTATATGTAGTCTTCAACAAAAGGAGGTTAGCATTGTAGAATGAAAGACTACACTGCATTGAGAGTATAGTCGGAGGCCTTCGGTCCATTCTTGGTACCTAATAACCTCCGCCAATGAGGTTATGTTTCCACCCCTGTTTGTTTGTTTGTTTGTCTGTCTGTCTGTCATCAACATAACTCAAAAAAGTATGGACCGATTTTGATAATTTTATCTGTGAACTGCCAGATGTGGGTCAAGGAACAGATGGTTAGTTTTTGGGTGGTGATCCGGATCAATAATCAATCCATAATCAATAATAATCAAATATTGCCGCCTTGGCGAAGGTCTGCGCTCTCGGAGTGCTTTTCTAGTTTACCTCTTTATTTTATTCATGTGTGTGTGCATGTATCCACTACTATTTATATCATCATATTAACTTAAAAGGGTGTTTCCATCTCTTGGTTGGGTTTTATTTTTATCAAAACACTGGGAGTTTATTTGTATTGCACAGTATAAAAGGCAGCAAAGTTCAGTTTTACAACATGACAAGGAGCGACCTTTCCATTTTGAGAGAAATGGTACTTGTCGCAAGCATCAAAACCACAAATTCCTTCTCGGGGAGATTGAAAACAAAACCCTAGAGCAGAACCTTGAGAACCAGCACGGTTTCCCCAGGGCTGGCTTGAAATGGTTGTAGGAAAGCCAGGTGGCGGCTATCTTCCCATATCCCCCTGTGACGTACTAAACCTGAGAAAACGTCCCGTAAAAGGTTTGGAAATCTACTGATATTTGTTTTTAAAAATATTAAATGAAATATGACATTTTGTCTAAAAGAAAAACTGAAATCACTTTAATAGAAAAACTTGAATATGGCAAAATGAATATGGAATGCTTGTAAATACTAGCACGCAGTACAGGGTATCATTACATTGTAACTGTCAAGCTCATACCGCTGTATAATCTAATTTATACAGTATACTTATTCGTTTCACTTAATCGCATATAAATAATTTATTGTCTAATAACTTGTAACGAAAAAAAAAACAACCATCGCATCAAATTCAAATCATTTTATTTCGTTAACCCTAGCTATGAGCTGTTGCATGCCTGTCAGAGTCGCAGAATGCGTACGTCCCATGCATTAACTATTCTTCACAAACTCTCAAACTATAACCATCTACCAACTTCTCATAACCGATAAATCTGCTATTTTTATTGTTGTACACATTAAATATATACTCATTTCACACCTGGCGTCATCGGGGGGATTGCGGTGATTATTTTTAGTTTTTTTAAAATGTATTTTACTTTGTCTTTTTATGCCTTCATAGCTAAAAGATTTAGATGGTTCATGTCAATATGAGCCAAACACCCGTTCGTGATATACATGTATGGGTATGGGGCATCTCAGATAATATAATTTTTACAAAAATGCATTTTAACATGCTGTTGGACCATTGACTTATAACGCAAATGGTGCCATCGGCGTCAATTCGGCGATAATTATCAGTCTCATTGTATTCACAACTGGCGTGTGAATACATTTAATGTTTTGAACTCATTAATCTGCTTCTCTGTATGTGGCACAATTTCTGTTCAGACCACTGATGTGACTTATGTTTGAAATTTAAATAGTTAGACCTGATTCACAGCGGTTGCTACAAGAACACAGATAAGATGCAGACGTCAACCTTATGGTAACAGTAATAAATGTCACTTGGCGTATTGTGTGAACTAAACAACTGCATAGGCTTCAACTGCACAGGCTTTAAACATACAAAATTATTAGCGCTTAAGTAGTATCAGCAGCGTCTCTATTATTGCTTGAAAGAGTCAACCAATTCAACCATTTGAGGCCACAAAGCATCCTACAGAAATTTTTGCCAATTTTTCCTATGAGGTCCTATAGGGTCATCAATATATGAATATTGTGTATATACAATAGTTACTGACACAAAATTGGGAATATTATGCAAATTGCTAAAAAATCAGTGCAAACATACAATGAACACCTTAACTTCTCAAGCCTCGCATGTTCCAGGGCTAAAATGAAAAAATAAATCCACCATTACCAACAACGTGCCGCCTACCAATATATCTCTCTGGGACATTAAGAAAAAAATGCTTAAATAACTTTTAATAATCTATACAGTGTTATAATGACATTGTGGCAAATAAAAAACTCTAATAATGTGTTTTTTCCTCTTATTGTCTTTCACTCGCAACACAACTCTGTAATATTGTCGTATATATGTGCCAAAAGTCGCTTTAATCACAAAATATTTTCGTTGGATTTTTTTTTTCGGAATTTTGGCACTTCAATTTTTAAACTAAAATACTGGTCACGTTTCCCTCAATTACCTTCATACAAAATCCCATCATTTTGAGAAAAAAATGCGTTCTTCGAGATATTCTATCCTAACAAGGGTCTGTTTGGTCAAACCAGATATTTGGATTAAAAAAAGATATCTTCCTGTCCTCTTCCATGAATTAAGTCAGTGAAAAGTTTGCTTAAAAACAGTAATGGTAGAGCCACTAGGAATTGCTAAGGGAGGAAAGGGAGGAGGAGATTGTACGACAACAGACGGGGACAATTGCACTATAACATGAAGGTGCAAGGATGAAGAAATTGCTTGGTCTTATCATTATACACTTGGGGTTAGAGAAAAAGTCCAGGGGGGGGGGGGTTAGGGGGTGTCCGAGTAACTCTCTCTCTGGGTCAGTCGATGTGTTAGAACATCAATGCCCTGCAGAAATCAAGTGGTTGATGGGACATGNGAGATTGTACGACAACAGACGGGGACAATTGCACTATAACATGAAGGTGCAAGGATGAAGAAATTGCTTGGTCTTATCATTATACACTTGGGGTTAGAGAAAAAGTCCAGGGGGGGGGGGGTTAGGGGGTGTCCGAGTAACTCTCTCTCTGGGTCAGTCGATGTGTTAGAACATCAATGCCCTGCAGAAATCAAGTGGTTGATGGGACATGTTCTTTATCAGAGGTCATGCAGCTTAGTGGTGTCGTCAGTTCTGCGCACAATTTCTCGCACACAATAACCAATATTGTGAATAGCAATTTTAATTGATTAATAAAAATTAATTTAAAAAATACAATCTGTGTCCCTGGCAGAGTGTGGCCCTGGCAGAAGTAACTTGAGTGTACACTTGTCACATCTATCGCAATCTAGGCCACAGCCACTCCATATTCGGGAATATTCGATCAACTTCGTAATCTAATCTACATACGCTGAGACAAGAAATCACCCGTGGTTGACCAAGTTATAGACTAACATTTTTCCACATGAAACGCCAGTCCTTTTAAGAGTGGTGTGCCTTGTACTCCAGATACGTGGTGGAGAGGTCGGCTGGCTTCAAATTCCACATCTGATACATTTAGCTGCTCATTGGGCCTGTCCACGCCATACGGTCCGTAACTCTGTCGATTGGTGAAGAATTGCAGAATATTAAATACCACCCGACCACGGATAGCACTGTAAGAAGTCTTGAGGTAAATCCTAAAAGTGGTATTTTACAAATAAATAATATTAAATCAATGAATGAAAAAATAATTATAAAATTATATATATATATATATATATATATATATATATATATATATATATATATATATATATATATATATACTTGACATTTAATATGGAATATTTTTTCAAAAGCATCTTAATTTGAATTTTTTTCTATTTTTCCAACTTATGAATGAAAAGAAGGACTTAAATCTTGATTAAAAAAAAATTAATGATCTATACAGTGTAATTGTGACATCAGCTCTTTAATTGAATTCACCTAATTAAGCAAACAAAAGGACATGGCTGATTCTAAGTCATACAACAACCATAAAGAGCATTATTTCAATCTCCACTTTTTTCAAAACTTCAAAATCTTCACAAAGGAGTTCATATGTCTTTCATTGGTGTCTTTCACTAGTGCGTCTGGCCTCATCTATTTGCTACTAGGGCTCTGAAGCGGGAAGGTATTCCGTCTGAGAGA